GGGAGGGAGGGAGGGAGGGAGGGAGGAAGGGAGAGAGGGAGGGAGGGAGGAAGGAAACTTGGTTACAGATTCTTACTCAAAGTTTTATTTTCACAGAAGGAAATTCTTTTGACTTGAATGCCTTTATCTAGCATCCCTCTGCTAAGAAAATATCCAGAAAGTGAGATTTTAGAGAATTCTAAATTTCTCTAATGCTTTACAATAAATGCAGCTCTAATATCTGAACATATGTTGATCATTTCTCATTACAACTATTTCAGCAGGTGTGCCTCTTACTACTTCTGCAGAGTCAACTTTCCTGAAGACCCTTCCTGTCAAGCATTCTCCAGGTGCGATTAAAGACAAGACTATGCCTTCCTCTTCCAGCAGTCCTTTGGATTTAAATAATCCAAACAAATATTGCATGCTATGTCCTGCGTTCTTTAATAGTCCAGTAATGGCCCAACAACATTATGTTGGGCAAAAACACAAAAGAAATGAAGCTAGGAAGATGTTTATAGATGAGATAAGAGACAAACCTCTTCCAGCAAAATGAAATGGAAATGACAAACAGTAAAATTATCCCCAAACTCTTTCACAGGAAGTTTGTATTTCATAAAACACACTAGCTTACTTATATACCATTTTACTCTTATTAAGTGAGAGATTGATAGTATTCATGGAATTATAGAATTTTAGAAAAGTAAAGACTTGCAAGTCCATCTAACTTGATTTGTTTGTTTTTTAAAAAATTGAAACCCAGAATTGTTTGATAACCCCTATTCATTTTAGAATCAAATGTAGGTATTCCTATGGTTCCATGTCATCTTAGGTATATAAGAAAGTATTTTACATTGGTATCATATGGTCATATCATTCATTTACCAAATGTGATTTAAATGTGTCTTGGATGCCAGGTTAGTCATTCTTGGGAATACAATTTCCTGAAGAAGCAAGTGCATAGATTAGTTGGGTTAATAACACTTCATTGCAGAAGGCTACAGACATAGATTTTTGCATACATGTTTTTGATAACTAGAGGAATGAAACATAATGGTTTGGAAAGATCTTCATATATTTTAATGATTTGAATTGATAGAAGTGGGAAGTAGAAAGGAAGAACCAAAGGGCTTGGACCTAAGGAAGAGTGGCAAGAATTCAAGCACAATAAAGATACTGATCCTGACTGGAGTAATCCACCTGCCCTTCTAACCATATTTTTTTTTCATTTTTCCCCCACAGGCACCTTCTCACTGCTAGTGTATTTTATTCTCCTTTCATATTCTCTCTTCCACCCACTTTTTTTCTCCATTCACTATTACTTTTCAAATCTCTCCTTACTAGACCTTTCTGCTTCATGTGACATTGTCCCTCCTTGGAGCTCTACTCTTTGTCATATGTAACTCCTTGTTCTCTGGTTCTTCTGTGTTTCTGACTGTTTCTTTATGGGCCTTTTTAAAATTCATTACATAGATGTAGGTATTCTCGTGATTCCATTCTTGATCTTACTCTACAAACATGACTTTATCTATTTCCCTGGTTTCGTCTCTCATCTAGGGCTCATCTGTATGCTTATGACCTTTCTGTCGTGCATCGAACTCACATATCCAAGTGACAGCTGCTTCACCTGGATGTTTCATAACTATTTCAAATTGACCTAGACATTCAAAGTTGAAACTTGCAGTTAACTGTGAACCCCCAAACACCACCTTCTTCACTTTCTATATCTAATGAAGCACCAAGTTGTGACTGTTTTACCTCCTGAATACTACTGTCCCCTTTTCTCCAGCCATGCTTTTCCCACATCAGTTCAGGGCCTCAACAACTTTCTTAGAGGTTTGCTACTCAAAGTGTGGGTTGTGGCTTAACATCATCGGCATCACCTGGGAGCTTGTTAGAAAAAAAGAATTTTGGGCACCACTGCAGACCTACGAAATCAGAATCTACATTTTAACAAGATCCCTAGGTGATTTGTACTCAATACATTGTGAGAAACATTACCCTAGAGTAGTATTTCCACAACCTCCTAACTATTCTCCCTGCCTCCAGCTTTGTCTCCCCAAATCCATCCTCAATTTAATCTCTAGAGTGCTTCACTTGAAGTTTTCCTTCATTAAATCTCTCCATTGTTTCTCCATCTCCTAAGGATAAAAATCTAAGCTCCATAGCTCTCTACCATCTTGTTTCTGCCTGCCTTCTCCAGGCGTATCCCTTTCTACTTCCTGCTATGATCTATATGGATCAATATCTGAAAACTGCTTATGGTTTCCAGCAACCATGACCCTGTCTTTTGTCTCTATGCCCTTGTTCATGTTGCCACCTTTCCTGGAATATCATCATAACCCTCTTCTCCTGGCAAACTCCTGCTCATTTTTAAACATGTTGTTGCTGCCTAGAAGACTTTTCACTTACTTCAAGACTAATCTTCTGTGCTTTCTTTACCTGCATATCTAATTATCTCTTTATTTGTCTGTATGTCTCATTAAAATGTAAGGTCTTTGAGGGAAAGGACTTCATCTAACTCATCTAGATTTTCAGTGCTAGAGATAGAAACTGGCACAAAAGTATGCCCGTCTCAAGAGAGGTTATTTTAATATATAAATCAGTGAACTATTAAATGATATTTATTTACTTAGTGCTTATGCTGTGTTTGCTCTGTTAGTTTCCTACTTAATGTGATTTAGCATATCCCAAAAAGTTATATGGAGATATGTGTTTTTATCCAGGATTTTAAAAAATATTTATTTAGACAAGCATAGAAATAGAAGTGGTAGGGCTTCTGAAAGTAAGTGTAGATGTCTGGAAAAGTGATAGACTTCTGCTTGCTAAGGTATTCTTTCTATTGCTAGGCTGAGGATATCTGAAATAAGCAGTTTTTAGCTTAGTGGCACAAGGTAAATTTGAACCGAGTTAGTTATGAGAAGTGAGTGCAGTCTTGTCACTTCTAGAGGAGGAGAGTCGTTTTGACACTCTGATGTTTCAAGGTTATTAGAATGAGGGAAGTCAGATTTTGATGGAATACTCACTGATGGTGGTTGAGGAGGGTAATTTGATCCAGTCATTGAAATCACTTTAGCCACTGAAGCTAGGGCTCAAGCAAGAGATTTTCAACCCTTCCTTGTCTATTTCATTTTGAGAACAGTAAACACTTAAGCATAACATAGCTGAAGAATTTAAATGAGCTAATGGGAATTTCAAAGAACAATAACAGCAGAACCCCATATTGCAAGTGAGCAAATAATAAAGCAGTTAACATATGCCACCTTAACTATTTCATTCATCACTCATTTTCTTCTTTCTGTCTCTGCCTTTCCCATCTGCTATTGCTTGTATATGTTTCTCTCATATCTAATCTCTTTCTGTTTTTCTTCATCGTTCTCACTGCATTCTTTATGTCCATCATCCAGCCCAGATCTTATTAGCACAGGAATGGCTACCATAACGATATGGAACTAAAGTATGTATGTATTTTTTATTTATTGTATTTGTTTTGTTTATCTTACTAATTTATAGCCCCATTATTGCACTTAGATGTCTTTCCTTCACCTGTAACTCATCTAAAGTTGAATTAATAATCTTCACTGCAACAAAATTGAATGTTTCACGTTTTCTCTCTACTAGTAATACCAATATTTATTAATCTACCTACACTTGAATCTCTGATAGTATCTTTGGCTACTTAGTTTTCTATATCCTGTCCATCAGTAAGTTTTATCAAATCTTCTTAGAACTATTTTTCCTTTCTGTACTTGTTCATTACATTTTTACTGCCAGCACTTCATGCCTTAATGCTATAACAACCTTCTGGAAAGCTTTACTTGTACCTCATTGTTATTCTTTCACTCCCTAGTTGCAAGATTTCAGCCCTAGAACAGTTTCACCCCCCACCCCCAATCTTTTCTGCTTCTACATTTCAGGCCTATTGAGTGATGCAACAGAAAATTATTTAAGTCTAGGGATTGGGTACTTTATGAAAAAGACTATGAAAGTCTTGAGATCCAACTACTTTAGGCCTCTAGCTCTACTTAATCTGTTACCTTTTCTTTCACTTTCCTCTTAGCAATAATTTTAAACCTACATCACTCTAGAAGACTTTTTCCCTGCTTTACATACACCTCCTCACACACTTCTCAGACTAGCTTCTTCCTTATTTCATAAAAAAAATTAGGCCCTCAGATGTGGATCACCACATATCTTGCCTTAACCAAATCCTTCTGTAATCCTGAGTTCCCCTTTAACTAGTACATTCTCCCCTTCACTTCTCACCCACGTTTTTTAAAAATGTAGTCCACTCTTACTGTCTTCACTTGTCATTCATTCCTCAACTCACTACAGTTTATTGGCACACATTCCTCCATGCCATTAAATCACCTCTACCACTTCACTGAAACTACTCCTCACAGGGTCAGAGTGACCTCTAAATTTCTAAATCCAATGAAACCTCTTTATTTAGCTCCTTTGACATCACTATCTCCCATTCATCCTTATAAATCTCTGTCCTTTACTTGGTGGATTTTTCATACACTCATCCTCCTCTACCATCTTAAAGAGTGACACTCTTCAAGTTTTATCATTATGTTGCTATTCCTCTGCCCACCCATACATGTCTTCAGGAAATTTCATCCACTCTGATTATTTTGACTACTCCCATGTTCTCACATCTCTAAAATCTTTCTGACATATCTTCTACCTCTCAAACTCCTATATATGACTGCCTGTTAGATGTACATGAAAGTCTCACAGATATCTCTGTGTGTTCAAACCTATACTCACCATTGCTTACTCTTCTATCCCTTAAAACACCACTTCCATCTGAAGTTCCAATTTCAGTTAATGGGATCACCACCCATCCAGTTGCCAAATTAGGATTCTGGAAATTAATTTAGACTTCTCTAGATTTTTCTCTCTCTTCTATCCTTCTTCACATTCAAGCAGTCACTAAATTTTGCCAATTTTAATGTTAAATATTTCACCAATCTTTCCGTTCCTCTCTACCCCTGCTGAGATCCTTCTAGCTCTCTTGCCTGGTCTAGTGTATTCACCTCATACATAACTGTGGTCTTATTGCTTCTAGGCTTGCTCCTCTTAAACTCATCTTTTATATTGCAGCCAGAGGAGAGATAATCTAAAACACACAATTGACCAACCATGTCACTTACTACTTGAAGGTTTCCTAAAGCACAGAATAAAAAGTCTAAGCTCCTTAGAATAACATATAAGTCTCTCTTTGATCTGACCCCTTTTTCCTCTTCCCATCTCATCCCCCTGTCCTTTACTCTACAACAATTCCATATTTTAAGAAGTTTATGTGAACATTCTGTGCTTTATTTATGCTGTTTTTGTGCCTACAGTGTGCTTCTCAACTCTTTCATCAAATTAACTATTTTTCATCCCACCAAGTTTAGCTAAGGCATCATCTCTTCTAGTAGCCTTCTTCAGACCTCCATATTATGCTAAGTGCTTGTGCTTCTTTGCACTTCAATATCTCTTAAGCATACCTCTCTTTTACCAAGTGATACTGAATTCTTTTGTTTGTGTATCTTTCTCACACTGAACTTGCCAGCAACCTGACTGTTGTATTCATCTTGTATCCCTAGCATCTAACATGATGCCTGTTGCCACATAGGTACTCAATATTTGTTGAACAGATTATTTGGATTCAACACGTCATGCCAGTTTCTGTTTCTGCCATACCTGATATTGTTTTGATCCCTTGGAATGCCCTTACCTACTTTCTTAACAATTTAAATCCTTCCAGTCTTTAAAGATCCATCACAACTGCTCTCACAGCTCTAGCTCCTGGTATTCTCTCCTTTCTCTGACTTCTCATAGGCTTTACTTCTTATTTATAATTGCATCAATTATAACTCCACAAGTGAATTAGCCTCCTTGAGACACGGAATTTTATTTTATTCTACAATGTCTTTCTCAATGTTTTATATGGTAATGAGTACATAGTTTTTTCTCAATTCATATTTCCCAATTGTTTTTTGATAGGCTGTGTTGTGTAGAAGGATAAACATATATTTGGAGATATACTTGAAGTTACTTGCCCAGTTGCACCTCAGAATCCTCAGGTATAAAATGAAAATAATGTAACTTCACAAGATTGAGTAAGGATGAAATGAAGTAATATATACAGTACCAATCACAGGATAGGTTATCAACAAATGTTAGATTTTAAAAAATGTTTTGTTCTCTTTTTATAAATTTAAAAATTGAACATTTTATATTTTTCTTCATAAGGTAAATTCCACATTCAGCTGCATTTTTACTTACATGTAGCTCTGAATTGGTTTTTTTTCCTTCCCAATTTAAGATATTAGACCACTTATCTTAACCTTGACTGTCCATTAAAATCATGCAGGAAGTGTTTAGAGATCACAGTGCTTGGGCCATCTCTAGGGTCAATTAAATTGCCATCTCTGAGACCTATGCATCAATACTTTTAAAAAATTAATTTCCTAAGTGATTATTATCTGGAGCCAAGATTGGGAACAGTGTTAGACTATAAAGACATGCACTTCCCTATTCATTTTTTGAAAAACAAGGATCTTAGTTCAAGAAGTTATGAAATAGAGTTGTGATTAAGAGAAGAGTAGGTCCCACAAGTGTTAGGTTTGGGAAGTTTCTGAAAGGTAAAAGATGCAAAGAAGCCCGAGTTTCTGGATGAACTTGGAAACAAGAAATCTTATCAGAGCTGAGAACAGGACAGCCAAGAGCAGAATAGAGGCAAGGAACAGTCTATGGGATTAAAAAAAATAGAATAAGAAGCATAGTGGAGGCAGGTCCCAGGAGAATTTGACCGAAAATTCTGACCTTGGGGTCAAATGAATAGGCTTCATATCATCACAGAAAGGGTTTACACAGTTTTTGTATTTTTTTCTGAGATTTTTGCATCCTAGAAAAATATAAAGAACATCAATGTGTGGAAAAGCCAAAGGCTAAGGTAATGGTAATCAGACCACTTTCTAGAACTGCCAGGATCTTTCATATGTGACTGGCAGCTCTTCTAAACCCCTATATTACCTCTATTGGAATCTTCTGGTGTAATTTGTGGAGAAACAAAGAAGGAACTGAGGAGAACACTACATATAGTATACTTTATAAACACTAAATAAATATGTATAACCTCTGCAAAATGACTTGAGTTTATAATAATAATGAAGATCATTGACTCAATAATCTGGAGCAAGTACACAGCAATGACTGCACAGTAAAATCATGTGGAAAGCTCAGAAAGTAAGAAAGTCTGAGCCGGGCTCGGTAGCTCAGCCTGTAATCCCGTGCCTTTGGGAGGCTGAGGTGAGTGGATTGCCTGAGCCCGTGGGTTCGAGACCCGCCTGGGCGGCGAGACCTCATCTCTACAATAAATCAAAAAAATAAGCCGGGCGTGGTAGCGTATGCCTGTAATTCCGGCTACTCGGAAGGCTGAGGTGGAAGGATCGCCGGAGCCCAGCAGGTCGAGGCTGCGGTGGCCGGGAGCGGCCACTGCACTCCAGTCTGGGCAACAGAGTGAGACTCCAACTCAAAAAAAAGAAAGTCTGGTTCCACCCCTAGAGATTCTGATTTAAATGTGGGGCTGTAACATGAATATTTTTTAAAAATTTCCACATGATTCTAATGTATAAACAGCATTGAGAACCACTAATCTGGAGGAAATCAGAACTCCTGCTTATCTTGCATAACTTAGGCACCCTCAGAATATATGGCATAGGCCAAATTAATTTGAGCCTTAGTTTGACACCTGTAAAATAAAGGCAGTAAGAATTTCCTGAAATGGGTTGTTGTGAGGATGTGCAGTCCTGGGTTTAGTCCTTAGCTTTGCACGAAGTCAAGAATCTCAGAATTGATTGGCCTTAAATCAGGGACTCACGAACCACAAACAAACTTAAAAGAGGCTGATAAATAACTGAGGAACTGGAAAGATATTCCCTTAGTATATTTCTCACAAAGTCCTTAATCACTTACCATACTTGTTAAAATACAAAATCCCTGTCCCTGCCCCAGAAACAGTGAGTCATGTTTTTCAGGAGAGGGCCTTTGAATCTATATTTTTAATTAACACGCCAGGTGATTTTTATCAGAGAAGACTGGGAAACGTTGTAGTTTAAGTTACTGTATTGTCATTCTGGTATTGATTTATGATTCCCAGTTTTTCTTGATGTCTGTCATTCAGGGTATCCTTTTTTGGCATTAAATGATATAGGAAACCAAATTTTAATCAGAAAGTGACTTAGTAAGCATAACATCAGAGCACAGAGAAGAAGGATCGTTTTGAAGAATCGTTCATTTAGATTTTGACGTAACTTGCTGAGCTCTCCTGGGCCTACAATAGAGTATACGTCAATAGTGAACAGAGTCTTCTGTTTTTCAAAGCCAGCATCTTTCTTTTCCCTTGTAAGTATTCTTCTGTTTCTATGAATAATCCTTGCTCAGACTAGGCCAATACACTTGATGATTAATAGCTTCCTTTAAATGATTAGAATGCTGTTTGATTTAAAAGATGACCTTAGTTGTTCCTAATATTCTTGCAGCCACCAATTTATTACTTCCTCCCTAGGGTGAGATTGCTTTTATATTTGGCATAATAAATCAAAAAATCAGCTGGGCGTGGTAGTGCATGCCTGTAATTCCAGCTACTTGGAAGGCTGAGGCTGAAGGATCGCCGGAGCCCAGCAGATCGAGGCTGAGGTGACTGGGAGCGGCCACTGCACTCCAGTCTGGGTGACAGAGTGAGACTCCAACTCAAAAAGAAAAATAAAAAGAAATTTATTAATTTGCTGCTTCTGACCAAAGCTAAAGTGGAGGATGATGAGATTAAGAAAATCAAAATTAATTTCCCCCTGCTTCTAATTCTATTTATGAAGCAGAATATTGAGCTAGTTGATATGCAGTCTCTTGTCTATAGTTCTTTACTCTTGAAGTGGTAACTAGAAGTTTTGCTTTAGAATTTTGCTTTCAGCTTCTATCCTGAGAGTGGGTTCACTGAACCTCTCTCCTTTCTAAAATCTGTGGAAATTACTTTTGCTAACTAATTCACTACAGTGATTTCAGGTAAGAGAGTAAACATTTGTTTTTAGTTTGGGGAGATATTTGAGGTTTTGATTGGGTGGAAAAAAAGTTAGGGGCAAACAAAAAGAGGTTAGTTGAGAGATTCTGAGGCAAATGTTGGTTGAGCATTCTAAATTTCAGGTATCTGCAGCACCTTCATGTAGCAATAGTAAACAGGCAGAAGATTCTTAGGGAAGAAGTCAAGGCTAGAAAGCAGTGGGTTGTAATGTAGAGTATTCTGGGTATTAAATTATTAAGAGCCATGGGCTCTGAAGGCTAACACTGCTACTGACTTGTCCTGTGACATTGGCCAATTCACTTGACCTCTCTGGGTCCTGTCTTTTTTGGAAAAATTCAAATAGGTGATCTCTAATAAATTCTTGTCTAGTTCTAATATATGTTATTCTAAATTTATCCATACATACCTTCTTAACTTGAACTTTCTGTTTTTTCAGCATTTAATATGAGAACCTACGTTTGCCATATTTGTAGTATTGCTTTTACATCTTTAGATATGTTCCGGTCCCACATGCAAGGAAGTGAACATCAAATTAAGTAAGTATTTTTGCCAAAATGTTCTTATGATACTGAAGACCAGAGTTGCTAGTCAAGTACCCTATCATGTATTTTACAAACTTTCTAGGCATTCTTTCCCCTGAGTTGAACTTAGATATGGCTGGTGGTATTTGTAACATACTGCATACTAGCTAAGGGAATTCTGTAGTCAATATTGTATACAGGAAGAGTTCATTATTGGTACCCTTCCTGATGAGACATCAATGTTCTTTGAAGAGATGCTAAATGATCACTCTTATGCTAACCACACAAATTCAAATAATCTCTGGAAAGTTGGCTTAGTTCCAGGGATTCAGTGACGCAATCATCATTTATCTAGTGAGGGACAGTGATTAAGAAGAGATGTCTTGCTATTAGATAGTATTCTGTATCAGAATACTGGATCCATCTTTCTTTCTTTCTTTCTTTTTTTGAGTTGGAGTCTCACTGTCGCCCAGACTGGAGTGCAGTGGCCCCTCCCGGCCACCGCAGCCTCGACCTGCTGGGCTCCGGCGATCCTTCCGCCTCAGCCTTCCAAGTAGCTGGAACTACAGGCACACGCTACCACGCCCGGCTAATTTTTTTGATTTATTGTAGAGATGAGGTCTCACCTGCCCAGGCAGATCTCGAACCCGTGGGCTCAGGCAATTCACTCACCTCAGCCTCCCAAAGGTGCGGGATTACAGGCTGAGCCACTGAGCCCGGCTTGGATCCATCTTTCTACCCAGTGTGGAAATTTAGACAGTTCTGATACAAGATTGTTGGGATGAGATACAATAATATGTGTAAGGTGACTGACCTGGCACATAGTAGGAGTTCAATAAATTATTAGCTTATTCTATTATTTTAGGGAGACGAATGGAGTGAACAGTTGGGGACTGGGTAGTTCAGTTAGCAGGATTTAACTAATTAACAATTTGTGTTCGGTTTTGTTGCTCTTTTAAATGAAGACGTAGTATTTCTGTCACATGATTTTATTCTAGTAGAAAATATTTATATTATTTGAGTTCTAATGCTTAGCAGCTAATTCACTCACCAAATTAACCTACATTTAGATGTGTTGCTCAGGTAGGAGTGCAAGGGCTATTCACATGTGCAATCATAGTGCACTACAACCTCTAACTTTTGGGTGTAAGTGATACTCCTGCCTCAGCCTACAGGTGTGCACCATCGTACCTGGCTAGATTTAGGATTTAGACTCTTAAAAAAGATATCAGGGTTCTAGAATAAATGCCTGTCACATTTATAGATGTATACAAGGAACAGACTGATGGCAACATTGAAAATGATATGACATTGAGATCATATTGTCTGTCAGGGCAGTAAATATTATTGGTCTTTACCCACACAACATGCCTTTGCATTTTTAGTACTATAACAGCATAAGAAAACAATACCACTGACCTTTATACGCATCTTCTCTTTCATCCCTGACCTGAGGAAGTTTGTTTTTTCTTTTTTTCTTTTTTCATGAAAATTGTGAGGTGCTTGGGAAGTATTTCACTATCTCTGCTGCTTCTTTTTGGCTTAAAAAGTCATGATTTATAGCCTTTATTATAAAGTAGGTTTTTAAAATTTGTTTGGGCTTGTGTTGTTTTTGTTTTTCAGACCAGTATTTTTTAGAGAAAAGAAAATATTCAGGATAAAATAATCTAGTAACACAAAAATTTCTACTCTCTTCTTTGCAGAGAATCCATTGTTATCAGCCTAGTGAAGAATTCAAAGACTCGAGACACTTACCAAAATGAGTGTGCAGATTACATCAAAGTGCAGAAAGCCAGAGGACCAGAGCCCAGTAATTGTTTCAGAAAGATGGAAGAGAGTTCTTTGGAAACCTATAAACATAGAGAGGTGGTCAATTCCAGACTCAGACACAGAATGATTGAACAAAGACTTCCATTTGAGACTTTCCAGTCATACTCAGGACCGTACAGTAGTTCACAATCAGTCGAAAACCAGTTACCTCATTGCTTACCAGCTCATTCAAAGAAGACATATGACTCTTTCCAAGATGAACTTGAAGATTACATCAAAGTGCAGAAAGCAAGAGGACTAGACCCAAAGACTTGTTTCAGAAAGATGAGAGAGAACTCTGTGGACACTCATAGGTACAGAGAAATGGTTGATTCTGGACCCAGACAAGGAATGTGTGAGCAAAGATTTTCGTTTCAGACTTCCCAGCCCTACCAACAACAATACAGTAGTTCAGCAGTGGAAAGCCAGTTACCTCATTGGTTACCAGGTTATTCAAAGAGGACGTATGACTCTTTCCAAGATGAACTTGAAGATTACATCAAAGTGCAGAAAGCCAGAGGGTTAGAGCCAAAGACTCGTTTCAGAAAGATAGGTAACAACTCTATAGAAACACATAGGTACAGAGATATGGTTGATGTCAGACCCAGACATAGAATGATAGAGCAAAACTTCCCATTTGAGACTTTCCATACCTATACAGGACCATACAGTATTTCACAAGCAGTGGAAAGCCAGTTACCTCATTGTTTACCAGCTCATGACAGCAAGCAGAAACTAGACTTTATTAGCTACAGTCAACTCACCAGAGACAATATCACAGAAAAACCAGTACCTTTGAGCCTTAATCAACAAGAAAATAACTTTGGCCCATACAGTGTAGAATCTGAAGTTTACAAACATCTCTCCTCAGAAAACAATACCACTGACCATCAAGCAGATCATAAACGGAGACATCAGAAGAGAAGACGACACCTGGAAGAAGGTGAAGAAAGGCCAGAGGAGGAGCAATCCAAGCACAACAGAAAAAAGCGTTATGAGGATATGGATTTAGACAAAGACAAGAACAACCGACAAAAGAAAAGAGAGGGGGATAGAGTCAGTTCAGAAAAGCTTAAACATCGAAAAAAGAAAAAGAGCCATGACATACCCTCTGAGAAGGAAGAACGTAAGCACAGGAAAGAGAAGAAGAAATCTGTTGAAGAAAGGACAGAAGAAGAAATGCTTTGGGATGAGTCTATTCTTGGATTTTGAACTTTTGGTTTTGTTTACGCATGCTTGAATTGAAGAAAATGATTAAGAATATGGAGTTAGACAAAGAGGAGCATCTGATGAAGAAAATGAAAAGTAGATACGGTTGGTGTCAGTTCAGGAACACTTAGCTTTTTTGTGTAAAGCTTGAATTGAAAAAAGAAAAAAAGCCTAAACTTAGCCTCTGAGAAAGAACATAAGAATATAGGAAAAAATAAGATAAAAGGAAACCTGTTGAAGACAAGAGAGAAGAGTCAGTGTTTTGGGATGAGTCTACTCTTGAATTTTGAACTTTTAGTTTTGTTTACCCCAGGATTAATTGAGGAATTCAGTTCAGGAAACAGACTTAGACAAAAACAGGAGTATCAGATAAAGAAATGGAGAGGTGGATATAGTCAGTGTTCAGGGAAGCTTTTTTTTTTTTTTTTTTGTAAAACTTGAAATTGAATTGAAAAAAGAAACAAAACCTATACCTAGCCTCTGAGAAACAAGAACAAAAGAACACAGGAAGAACATAAACGAAAAAGATACCTACTGAAGAGAAGACAGGAGAATCAATGTTTTGGGATGAGTCTACTCTTAGATTTTGAACTCTAGTTTTGTTTACCCAAGGATTAATTGGGAAAATCAGTTCAGAAAACAGATTTAGACAAAAACAAGAGTATCAGATAAAGAAGAGGGGAGTTAGATATAGTCAGTGTCAGTTCAGGTCAGTTTTTTGGGGTGGGCGGGGAAGGGCTAAAACTTGAAATTGAATTGAAAGAAGAAAAAAACCTAAAACTAGCCTCTGAGAAACAAAAACATAAGAACACAAGAGGAACATAAGATAAAAACCTACTGAAGAAAAGACAGAAGAGTCAATGTTTTGGGGATGAGTCTACTCTTAGATTATGAACTTTTTAGTTTTGTTCCTTCACGGTTGAAGAAATAGGTTAAGGGGTTTGGTTTCATACAATTCATGTTCTTTGAATTTTTCTAAGTGGACAGTTATTTTAATCTCTTTAAAAAAAACCAAGTGAAGTAAAAGTATTCAATATGCCTTTTCCACAAGCTACTTTCCCTCATTTTCTAAAAAAGAAAGAAAGAAAAATTATTACATGTTTCTTACATATACTGTAATTTTCCTAAATGAGATTGTCTCTACTTTTGTTCATTGAATTGCTGTGATAGTGAAGTATTTACCCATGGGAGAGAATTTATTTTAAATGACAGAACTACCATTGCAGAATCCATTCCTTGTTTGGGTTTGTGTTGCTGTTGGTGGTATTTTGTTGTTGTGTGTTTCTGTTTCTTGGTTTTCTCCAAGGAATGTATGAAGCAATTTAGATTTATTGCTTTTCCTTGTTAAGTCTAATTTGCAGTGTATTTTTGTATTTTCTAGTTCTGAAAGTGGAAAATGAAACAGTCTATAATAAACTTAGATGACATATAGTTTTAAAAAGCTCTCAAAAAGTACTGATACAAAGTCAGTCTATATTCTGGAAATGTTTATATTAAAGTGTTTTTTATTTATGCATATTGCTTTATGTAAATGACCATTTCTCATCCAAAGATAATTATTTTGGGATGGGGCAATTATTAAACAATTTTCGCTTAATACCTCTGGGGAGATTACACTGTAAAATTGTAATAATTTTATTTCTCTACATCTTGCCTAGTAGAAGCTGGTATTCAGTCTTGAGCTCAGTTTTAGGTTAGGAAAATATGACCAGCTAAATACTTGAAAGTGAAGAAGGAAGAATTTATAAGTGGTAGAGGGTCATAAGGATGTGTTACCCTTTAAATTGTTTGATTTTGACAATTTTTGTTTTATTCTAGTGCTCCCTTTATTTATGATCAGTACCTCCTGTAAGTATTGGAGCATCAGTATGAGATAGAAAATGTAATGGCTTGGGAATCCAAATCCCAGGATTCTGGTCTCAGTTGCACCATCAAGTTGCTGTGTGATCTTGTGAGAATACTATCGGAATCAAACAAGGAGTCACCATGAATAGGAAAAATAGGTTATAGTATTCCCTTTCTCAAAAAGTAAATTTAGATGGTAATATATCTGCATTTAGGCAAGATATTTAATAGTTGATTTTTGCCGGACTCGGTGGCTAAGCCTGTAATCCCGCGCTTTGGGAGGCCGAGGTGAGTGGATTGCCTGAGCCCCCGGGTTCGAGACCTGCCTGGGCAACTTGGTGAGACCTCATCTCTACAATAAATCAAAAAATTAGCCGGGCATGGCAGCTACTTGGAAGGCTGAGGTGGAAGGATTGCCGGAGCCCAGCAAGTCGAGGCTGCAGTGGCCGGGAGCAGCCACTGCACTCCAGTCTGGGCGACAGAGGAGTGAGACTCCAACTAAAAAATAATAATAATAATAATAGCTGATTTTTATTCTATGACATTTGAATAAAATGGCAAATTTGAGCTGAAATATAATATGATTGGTTGGGTTTATACCTAACTGAATGAATAGTCCCAGGAGAGTTCGATGGTCCCCAAATCAACTTTTCTTCCATGAGATTGTTGGTATTATTATTTCATGTGACAATATTACCCCCTCCCCCTTTAAAACACATTTGGTGTACTGGTGAAAGAGAGGGAGAAAGAAGAACCAGGGTAGAACAAGTGGATTGTGAACTTGGCAAGTTCTCTTTTCTGAGCACATCACAAAATGTAGCATTTTTTTCCACAAAAGTGCAAAACAAATCAAATGAGCTGCCAGCATTTTAAAAATTGATAAATTATTTCACAAAAATGTATCTTGTGTTTAAGGCTGAAGGATTTTGCATCAACATGAAAGCAACTGGAGACCTAATTTTAAGTGAAATATTACCGAAACAAAAAACTGAATACAACATGTTCTCACTCATAAGTAGGCACTAACATTGGGCACACAGCTACAAGGATGGGAACAACAGATGCTGAGCACTACTAAAGGAGGGAGGGAGATTAGGAATACAAATCCACCCATTGGGTACCATGCTTACTACTGCGGAAAGGGGCTCGCCAGAAGCCCTAATCTTGCCTTCATGCAATATACTTATGTAACAAATCCTAACATCTACCCCATGATACTAAAATAAAAATAAAGCTGAGGGAGATTCAAAACTATATATCATAAGAATATTCACTGAGATAACACGTTACTCTGATCTTATCCAAAAAATAGACATAGTGTTTCATTAAAATTAGCCACTCGCAATTTTAATCTGTAATGGGTAAATTATGTAAATTTTTAAAATTAAAACCATTTAAATTGGATGGTGTGGTGAGTGGAGGGAGGGAAAAGGGCGTGGTATTGATTATAGTCTTGAGGAATTCACTAGCGACTTTATTTAGAAAAGTGATTTTCAAAAATTTTGGGACATATTTTTTGCCAAAAATAAATTTTACATTAACCTCATCATCAGATAAATTTTATGTGAACCTGAGACATAATTTTCTGGTTGAAGCTAGGTGTGAGGACCTGGAGCCTGAGTTTAGCACGTTTGTTATGCTACCAACTTCTGCCTCTGATCACTTGGAGGTATATATAAATCAAGATATTTAAATATATATGCAGGATCTGAAATGATCCTACTTCTGGAGTTGAGTGGTAAAACCGCTAAGATGAAATTTAATAGTGTACATAAATCCAAAATTTGGATATTTTAATACAAAAACATATTTGAGAAGACACAGTTTATGATACTACATGTGAAAACAATGTTGGGAATTTTATTTCATGTTTGGTTTTAAAGATTAACATGCTCACCCAGCCATAAAATCACATATGACCTGAGGCACATATATTGAAGACAGTATTTGGAACAACTTAACAGTAACTTCAGAGATAAATCCTGAACTGGTTAGAAGATACAGGGAAGCAAGTACAAGGGGGGACCCAAAAACCTCCAAATTATCTTTCAGAGGGCAAGCTCCTTGTAGTATACTCAGAATTTATTCCTCCAGATCAAACAGTCAACCAAAGTTTTCATCTGGAAGTTTTGAGAAGGTTGTGTCACAATTTGCAGAAGAAACGTCCTGAGTTGTGGCAAACAGGTGAATGCTTCTTTCAACATGACAATGCACCTGCCCACACCATGCTGAGTGTTCAGCAATTTTTGAACTAACAAGGCATGATCCCTGTGCCCCACCCTCCCTATTTACCCAATCTCTCCCTGAACGACTGTTTTTTGTTTGCAAAAAGTTTTGCCAATGTGAAAGGGGTGAAACAAAAATCAGGAGAAGCACTAAAGACATCAAAACTGATGGGTTCAAAAATTGTTTTGAGCAGTGGAAAAGCGTCTTGATAGGTGTATTGCATCAAATGGAGAGTACTTTGAAGGTGATTAAAGTTTAAACATGCAAGAATAAATTACAATTTTTAAATAAATTTTGGGTTTTTGGGGGACCCTCTTGTATTGACTCTATTTGGAAAATAATATTTTCAAAAATCGGAGCTATAGAAAAAATAGAATTCACTGTCTTATTTTATGCATGCATTAAACAAATAATAAGGGCTGACTGTCACCGTTGTGCCAGGAAAGAGCCTGAGGAAAAAATGAACACAGGTTCTGTTCTACAAAAAGCTGACAACTTAACAGAAGAGCTGGACCAATAAGCAGGCAATTACAGTAGAAATTTGATAAAGGCTATAAGAAGAGTGATGAAAGATGCTATAGGTAGCAAAGGTAATAAACTTAATGGGATGGGAAGAGGACACTCAGGAAAGGCTTCACACAGGAAGTAACATCTAAATAGACCTTTTTTCCCCTCTGTTAAAAGATTTATTTCTTTGATGTATCCACATGGCTAATAGGCACTTCAAACTTAATATAGCCAAATAGAATGCTTGCTTCTACCATTAGCAATTATACATCCTCCAGTTTCCATTATATCTGTAAAACCTCCATGGCAATTGTTGAAGCCAAAAACCATTTTTAGCACCTCTTCCCTTATATTATACATTAGACCATAAGCAATTCTCTTTGATTATATCACCAAAATACCTCTCTTAAGGTTGAATTCTCTTCATCTTCACTGCCATCACCCTAATCTGAGACATCA